ATTGATATGAAATTGAGCCAAGTGGGCTCTAAATGCGGTTTAGATATAATATAATTAGATATGTTAAGTTCATTTATATTTAAACACTGGAAATTTAAATAGATACACGTTGACTTGAAGAATATTAAGATATATAAATGTTGAAACATGTAAATAATTATTCAAATTGTAAACTACATTAAACGTACAATTGGACAGTTAAATCACACCTTACATTTAACATTCACTAGATGTTTGTCGATGAACTAGAAAAATAGCTGGTTTCCACGTCACGAAACGTTATGCGGAGTTAATGTACACCACAACAAACACTGGTGGTTGTCTAAGATTACGCATAAGCAAGGTTTTGTATTTCTTTTGTGCAGTTTATTTTCTAGTGACACAATTCGGTGTTATTATTAATTCATAGACCTTCAAGATGACCGGCGGTACTTGGTTTAGTGAGTGATTTAGTTTAAGTTTCGTGATAGGAACCAGCTATTTATGTGAAGCAAGCAAATCTTACCATGAATGAGATGACATCAATTAAGTGAAGTGATTTTTAACATTCGTTGTAGCAACCCACATTGTATCCTTTCCGGTATTTACAGTTAATAATTAGCTCTATAGAATGAAATTTATTTTGCAGGACTTAACTAATATGTATTACCTTAGCTTACCTGTTTTCTTTTAATTACGATTAAATATGCATTGGGGTGGGAATAGAGTTAGGGGCGACGTGGTTGCTTATTGCAAAGAGATAAATTTGTGATATTACATGTGACAAAGGACGTAACACATTAAATTAAAAATATAATCATTTAAAATTACGTTCATTAAACTTGCGCGTTGTTTTTTAAAATTAACTTTACTAAAAAACCTATGTATAAAGAATCACAGAAGAAATATACTAACCCAATATAAGTTAACACATTTATCTAATAAAGTTTAAAAAATTCGAATCATCTACAAAAAATTATTTTTTTTCTTAAACCTAGTTCGGTTATTACCACCTTTATCCTTAATTCCTCGAGTACTTAAATGTTATATGAAATGCAATTGCCCCTAGCTGTCTAAACAAGCATTGATATATGTATAATGGTATATACAATGAAAGCTGATATCCTACCTAAGTACCTTTGATACCTAAAAACATATTCCCGAACTCAATGTATACTTTATAAAATACCAAAAGATGTAACGCAAAATCTTAATGTCTTAGCAATTTTTGAGCATACATTTTAAAAAAATTGAATTTTTCCTAATTACAAGTACATCTCTATTAATAGTAACTTGTCCCCGGCCAAATGAAAATATTTGAAAATAATTTAATAATTTCTACCCACTATTAAAATATTTCTTATTAATATTTATCCTATGCCTCTCTATATACAATTATATTAAGTAAACATAATAGTAATGCAGAAATACACAATTTTGTCGTTGCAGGACATCCATCAACCGCAACCTTATTTACAAATTTCCAATGGCTATTGTGTTATACAATACAGTTTCCTTTTAAGTGAGAAATTATTAACAAAAACTGTATTTATATTGTAAAACCAATAAATAATCTTATTAAATTTTTAAAATAAGTCCCAAAATTGAACGAGTATTACAAATTCAATAATTCAATTACCTCAAAACAAATTCGATTAACTCAAATGAATAAAGATTTTATACTATTTAGTTTTGAATAAGTCAAGGCTACTGTATTATATAAAGAAAGTTGTATCCCTGCATTACTTGTTATATTTAAAACATTTATTTTTTATACAGCTAATCTTTATATTGCTTTAACTGAGAATGCACGTGCCAACACCGATTCATGTCGGCTTCAGAAACGTATATATATTTATTATATAACAAAAATCACCTATAGATAAAACCTAAAATTCCTATCTAAATAGACTACTAAACCTACAACATCTAAATAAATGTCTGAACCCAAAGTATCTATCTAACAAAATCTATCTATCTGAACCTACAATATCTGTCACAACGTCTAAATGTCAAGCGCAAGTTTAATACACGAACATTGAATAGGATTTTTATGCGGAAGAAACTCAATTGTGGAGGTTTTTGAAATGCCACAGTCAACCCACTAACTCTTAAGTGATAAGGATATTTATCCTAACTTTTAATTGGAACACCGATTGAACCGATTTATCGAGTCATTGAGCTTTTTACTCGTTCCCAATCCAATCCCATCCTGAAAAACTTTTAGTATGAGTATTTCTTTCATTTCACTTTCAGCCTTACATTTACCTATTTAAGGCTTTCAAAGACAGTACGTAAATCGCTCAATGTTTCTCGACAAACGGACTATGTGCTATCGAATACATTGACGAAACATTCAGACACCGATTATTTCTTACAACTACAAAGATCCCGTGAGACCAGATATTGATTATTAGTAATTCGGCATATAACACAAAAATACTATCGTACAGCATCCAACGATTCACTATTTATTTAATCAAATCAAAGCACGTCAGTGTGGTCCAAAAGTGGACTCTATAACCACGATGAAAAATATCTCTCTTGTAAATTCGACACGTTCTATCGAATACTGTACGACGTCTACCAATAATGCCTAATCGAAGAAAACAAGAAGCATAGGTGGCAACAAATGCCTAGGAAGTTTGTCACTTCCGGAAATATATATCCTTAACGTTTAAAACAGGTTAAAAAAATAGGAGTTAGATTTGGATATATTATAGGCAGATCGATACTGCGATTAATTCGTTACGTTATGTGCCATAATCAAATCGCAATACAAGTCATTGTGTGCTCTATGTTTACGTGTCTTATGGTTCCTTGTTCTTCATTTTCCGCAATATCGATCTACGTAATGAGCTTCACCAATCAAATGTACGAAAACGTATCAACTGATATTGATAGCGACTTTTCGTACATTATGTTGGTGTCCCTTGTGAGGGTTGCCGTTAAGGCGAAGTGGAAGATCGTGAGCGCGCTCGGCGAGGGGCGCTAGGGATAGGCGTGAAACTTACAAGCTACAAATGTTTGTAACAATAATGTAAACTCGCCCTTTGAGCGCGTCGTCTACAATATTGTCATTAACAATACCAGTCCCTGAGTTTCGATCACAATTTATCAACCTCAATTGTACGAGAAATGCACTCTATGGATACTACTTATATAAGCCTCACTCAGTGACCGGTGTGAGCGAAATATCGACTGGGAGAACATGAAAGTTACATGACACATTAACAGTATACATATGAGTACATCGATATTTCGCAATTCTTACCCTACGTTTAACCCTACATGCAACTCCTATCTACTTGCTAACTAACACTTAGTTCTAATTACGCAGCGTCACTATGCTGCGTGGATCTGAAGCGGGAGAAATAGGGTGATGGGACCAAAGTTAGCAAGTAAACAGTCGTAAAGCGAAAAAAATATAATACCTACAATTATATGAATACTGTACTTAATACTGCTCGACATCCCTATCACATTACTTATCCAGTCTGTTGGATTCGAAAACATTGACGAATCCCAGGCTTAAGATGTAGGCTGTAGACTTTCCCAATAGAACTTAAAACTACTACCTAAAAGCTCTCATGAAACTCTGTCCGTAATAAGTGCCATTAAGAAATAAATTCTGATTTACTCTAACATACTGTATAGCATTTAATACATATTAAAATTAACGTACAAAGAATCTATAGTAATTTTTAAATAGAAATTAGTAGTCTGTGGACGAAAACGGTTGGGTTTCCGTTTCATAAAACTATTCTGATAAGTTCGCGACACATGTAAGTAATTCTGATAATTGAGATCCATTTTATATTTATAAGATTTTTATGTTTGTGATTATAAGTATGTATCTATTTTTTTTGTTTTTATAGTTGTTCACGATTACGTTTTCATCGATTTCGGTCAATTTTCCCTAAATAAAGCTCAGCTATATGCAAAATATCAGTCGTAATTGTAACGGAACGTATCCGTATAATCTGTTCTTTTCTTTACACAATTAACGAAACGTAGCAATTAACAATAGATTTTGGATATAGCGGGTGTAATTTATTTCTTCACTTGTTTTTATAAATACTAATTATACGCCGTACTGGTCTCATAGGCCTAACCATTTGTGTATCGTAAAGTTATCATTAAAATTCTAATTTGTAAGCAACAAAGAATATTTTTTTGTAGAACAGAAGGCAAACGTGCAAGAGGCTCATCTGATGTTAAGTGATACGCCCACCCATGGACACTCTCAATTCCAATTGGTACGCTCTTTTTGTGAATCCTAAGTCGAAATGGTTCGGAAATTTCTTAAGGTCTTGAGCGCAGAGTGCCCTACCCCCCCAATATTCTTTGTGGAAAAGAAAATCAATTGAAGACGACCGTAAAATCGATCGATACAAGGCATATTTAGAGGGTGAATAATTTTAATACTTTATTTATTGAAGATATTAAAATATTATATTGTTAGGGATGTTTTGTAAGATAGGTGGGTTAAGTAAAAGTATTTGGACACTAATGCCAGTTAGCGAGTATATACACTTAAAAATCATAATGCAACGGGCGGCCTTATCGCTACTAAGCGATCTCTTCCAGGCAACCCTAATTAAATAAAACAAATTATATGAAAGAAAAGAATTGAGAAGAAATGCAATAGTTTTTTTTATAGAACAGGGGCAAATGGGTAGGAGGCTCATCTGATGTTAAGTGAACGGCCGCCCATGGACACTATGCCAGAGGGCTCCCGAATACCGGACTTGTGAAACCTAATTTATAATACATAAAAAATGTAAAGATAAAACATGATTATAAAAATTATTTAAGCGTAGCGGAAGTAAATTACGCTTTGTTTAGCAACGTATTTAATGAAAAGCAGTCAAACAAAGCAAAAGTTTAACTAAAATATCAAATTGTACCTACGCTGTATATACAAATTTAGTTCAAACAATGTTATCAGATACAAAAGTGGTTAGACCATATAGACGTATATCTTATTTATAGATAAATTAACATCCAGTGAAACGCGCTTAAGGGCGTGGCATTGGTGGTTTATACCCCTCAGTCATACGTTCCAAAAAGCGGTGCAAGTCGTTAAAACGCGGCCGTTGATTTGGTTCGCGTCGCCAGCATTCATGCATTAAATCGTAAAGTTCTCGTCGGCATCTCGGTAGAGGAGCGGCCGGGACTCGTGCGCCGCGGCCGCCGCAACGCCATTGGCTTGCATTTGCAACAACCTAGAGAAGAAACCACTTGAATTACTATCAATGAAATACTAGATAAGAAGAAAACGCAGTCAAAAATGAAGGAAAGGGAGTACGAATTACGTTCTGAATTCTTCCGGTTGCGGTACAAGGACAAGTGCGAACTAAAATGATTTTAAACATGGATAGTCACACGAAATAAATAAGTTTCTCTGGTCTCGGGATTGAGTTTTATATCTGGTTGGGAGTGTGGGGACAAATTTTGTATATACATATATTGATTAAGATTCTACTGATACCTATATGATTCCTAATAGTGCATACATGTTTTTTAAAATGAAATTTCCTCTATATATGATAAAAGCTTAACAAACCTGATCGTCGTTCATTTCCTCAAAAGGTTGCGCTGCGCAGTATGTGTGCACCTCCCAGACTGTGACTCCAAATGACCAAACATCGCTTGCGGGTGAGCACATGCCCTAAGGAAATGTAACTTTTATAACAATTCAGGATTTATTACCTACATTCATGAGCCTGCATGGGAATAGTCAATGCTCCATGTTTGTACCACAGTACATTCACAATGAGGACGACACCTCAATAATCAAAAAGATTGCTGGACCCCACGAACAAAGGCTCCACCAACTTGTGATTGTCGAGGCTATTCAACTTCTTGACACCACTGGCCTTGCTGAATTAGTGCGAGTGCACGGATAGAGTGCAGTTGTAAGTGGGAAAAATAGTACAGTAGTCTTCCCCTTTATAGGGACTGTAAGTAGTGTTATTGGACACTTCCTAACGTTAAATATACTTTTTAGTAAATTAGGTTTGACTTAAATTACCTTGTCTTAGGTTAAGCTAGAAGCAATGTTAAATGATATCTTTGTGCAGACAATTTATTTAAAAAAAAAACATTCGTGAGCTTAAAGAGTAATAATTTGGGTTTCTTCGTTAAAATAATTTTAGATGCAGTTGATTGTGTAGTCTTGCTTGGTTTACATTTTGCTTTAGATATTTTAAATTATTTGATCAATGCAAGCTCTCTCGGCCACGGTCACTTTGGTAGCCCAAATTCAACAGCGTTACAGCTCTTAAAAGTATGGGGTAACTCATCCAATTGTACTTTTTTAAATACTCTCTCTTTCTTTCAAATTTTGTTTACTCTGCGACGAAATGAGACAGCTGAGTACTATAATTAAAATGGTGCAATTAGTCGGATTTATATATTAGTTCTTGTAATAACATTCGATATAATTTATTTTACATTTTTCTTTTAAATGTATAATAAACTTTTTGAAGTTCTACTTCTTTAGGCGCGTTATAAAAAACTGATAAGAGTGAATTTTACAAACACAAACTTATCAGTATGAAGTTTATAAGAAGCCCACTAACGAATTCTTTTTAAACCAGCCGGGCGCCGAGCGTGCGCGAGCGAGATGGGAATAAGACAATCTACAAGTAAAAAAAAATAGAATATGCGTGAAGTTAGCAGCTATGCCAAGAATTTTGAATGACCATAATGACCTTTGTAGTACCTTTTAAAGTTTTAAACAAAAAAAGGAGTTTTAATTATTTTTTCAAAGAAATTTAGCAATGCTTTTTCACAAAGACCTATTGTTACTTAGTTAAAAGGTTATGAAACATACCTAGTTAATTAATTGAATGAATAATAAAATAATAAATAATAATTATTATTATTATGAATATTAATTAATATACTAAATATTATTAAATTATTAACGTTAAATATTTATTATTAATTATTTAATATTTAAAAAAAATAAAGAAAGCCAAAGAGTATAACTTCTTACGCGCGTACATAAGTACACGCACCCTTTTTTTTCATTCTAGTGGTAGTCCTAGCCTCGAAATAGTACTGAGGGACTTTCTTGACAATATAAAGTGTTTGTAATGAATTGTTCATAAAATAGTTTACCATAAGCAGGCTCTCCCAAGGCATCCACCGAAGTGGTACTCGAATTCCATTTGCCATAATGTGATAATCGCCAATAAACTCCTCGCAAAACATCGCATAGTCGGATACTTTAATGTTCAGATCGTTGGTAACTGTTATATTTCTAAAAGAAAAGTGTTAATGCTTTAAGTTGGAAATTTGAACAAAGGTATCCTTAGGGCCTGTTTCACAATGTATGGATAAAGTACCAAATAGCTATGCAACACATAAATTATTTGGAAGATAAATTGTGCTTTTTGACATTCATCGGACTCATAACTTATGGTGGACTTTATGTGACGATTAGGGCTATCTGACAGTCGTGAAACGCAACAATAGTGTTTATCCTACCAATAAGTAATAAATAGCTAATTTGGAACTTATGTAGAACTTATCCGTACATTGTGAAACAGACGCTTAATGTACTAAAGTCATAAATTTAAATTGAGCAACAAAGCAAAGATGTGACGAACAATTACCAAACACGTAATTATAAAGAAGCATTTAAACAAGAGGTAAATTTGTCGAATCACGGCTCCACCTCCACTCCACCAGGATGTATGTTACAGTATGCAACGGGATTATAAGCAATTCCTTACATGCAATAAGAAAGGAAACCATATACCAAAATGTAAAATATGAAGAGTATTTCCTGTCTTTAAATTAATTAAAAATCTTTTTGTATTAAAGGCGAATTCGCACACTTGCGCAAATGTCATGACTTGAGTACAGGAGTGTATAGATATATGGGCATTCCCTATTCCATAACTCTCATATGGTAGGACGAATGTCAGGCGCAGAAGGACTGCATCAGGTGCTCATAACTTCAAAATTTATAGCAGCTCACCATCGATATTTTTATTCAAAAGATGGTTTTATTTCCCACCCAGGAATCGAACTTGTACCTCATGGTCTGCTTTAAACATATTTGCAGTGATGAAAACAATACATTCGCAAGTTATTCCGAAAAATAACACATAACTGAAATATTTTTACTGCATTAAACGGAAAAAACGAGGTAGAACCAGCGCAAATATAGTTAAATTTATTCTGCATGGCAATTAAAGTAATATAAAAGTTTGTATGTGAATTTATTTCTTATGAAATAATATTTACCTTGCTGCGAGATCTCTGTGTACTAACTCGAATGACTCCAGATACTTCATACCGTTGGCTATTTGGCAGCATATGTGTATCAAACTCGCATAACTATAACAATATATTTAAATTAGCAGGAGTTTGTGTAGTGAGTTGATGATTTCTTAATAAATGGTTGTAATTATAATAAAATGCATACTTCAATCTCCGTTCCATCTTCAGTATCGTTGTCAATGGGACTGCATTGCCGCGGTCGAGTGCCGCGCATGGAGGCTCTAGGAGGCTCAAACCGAGCACCCGAGCTAGTTGCGGGTGCTTCAGCCCAGCTCCCCATGTAGCTTCGCGGGCAAACGCCGCTCTGAATAACACACACAAATAAACGGGTTTACAGGGAATATTTTATTTCGAAAGAAATAAAGGTATTTAATTAAAACGTGTTTAGCCGTAAAAGAAGTCAATTTCGTAATACTCCAGCGGGTATTGAAAGTTCCAAATTCTTGGTAAAGCCATGTCATGAAGGTGATGCTTTTTTAGAATTATTTTGATTACAACACATTGCACAATTAGTTGTGTAATGTATAGAACCTGCGACTCTAAGACCTATATAATAACGAAATATAGGAAAACTATACAGAAACACGAATATCCATGAATGCCTTCGATATAAATTTTATGGAAAACGACGCGTTCAAGCTTTATTTATTACGACGAGTTATATTAATATTCCACATAGGAAACATCGACGCGCTCCGTTTGATTGTAATTGGTCATCTCTAGTCCAAACACCTAGAAATTCAACATTATATAACTTCTGTTTGTTTTTTCCGGCACTAGCTGCCGAAGCTAGCTACGAAAAGAGCCTATAATTCCGTCACTTTATTCAAAACCCGCCAGCTCCTTTGCCTCCTGTACCATAAAATGCACGCTTTCAACATTCGTCTGTCGTGTTACATTCTCACTCCGATGTTTAGTTTATCACAGCTTTAGCTGTAGCACCGCTTAGTTCGAATCGCCGAGTTTCAACCGAAACTCTACTGGAAAGTTTAACTTTTTTCTGCTTTGACTTTCCATTTGACCGCTTTTAACTTATAGCTTATGATTTATAACTTGTTTTGTGATTTATAATGTTATCTATTTTATTAGTTTAAAGTTATTTTGTTTCAATCACATTTAAGAATATTACTTTACTATAGTTTCTTCAATTATACATTAATACGATGGTATTGCGGCAGCTCGTTCTACACTAATTACATACGAACGACGGATGTTTGTTCTTCCATTTAGTTCACCGCACACGGAGCGCATTTCAGCTTTTACTTACAAAAATCCATTGTTTCTATTTCATTTTAAGTATTGTTCATGGTAAATCTTCCGATGTCGACTCTTTGCTTCTCTCAACTATAACTTCATACAGCACAGAGTTGGGTATTATAACCGTCAAAAGAATTGTTACCACCTCTAGCTACTGGTACTATTCTATGCATTTATAATAAATAGCAATTTGTTTGCTATCTATAAAAAGCTGTATCAAATATTAATAACAGACACGGTCATGTTAATAATTACAACAAAAATAATAATTTATTTATAATTAGCAAAAATATTTTACTGCATATAATATAGGTATATTAAAGAGCAAAAACTTCACCGCGAAGGTTAAAAAATGGCTTTTAAGTAGAATTTACATTCACAAGAAAGAAGTTATTGCATGAAATGCCGTGATTTATATAAAATGTCGACTCGCTTGACATCGCAATAATGCACGCTAGAAGGTTTTTATACGACATTTTTAGTTCACGATTGCGTGTTGCGTCGTATTCAATTCAATGTAACTGTTTCTATCTGAAGGTGGAACTCAGGCGCTATGAAGGCGCGGGATTTGCTCTGCTTCGTACGTAAAATGTGTGTTTTCTAGGAATTTCGCGAAATTACAGCAACTATCTCAGTTATTAGGATATTTGTTATTGTTTTGCATTTTATTTTTGTTAAGGTATTTTGTGTTTATATCGATTTTAAGGACATGACTAGAGTTAATATTAGTTTTTTGCACTTCCGTAATTTTGTAAAATCGCAGTGTCGTCGATCTTACACGCCTTTTTGATATCATGAGTCACTTAAGAACGTATACCTTGCGAATATAGAAAACTAGTGTCATGTTTGGTCATAAAATACGACGGCGCGTAACCCCTTTAGACAACTAAATAATAGTGCGAATTTTTAGTCAGAGTTATAAATTATATTTAATTACCTATATGTTTTCTTCTGACAATCACTTCATAAAACCATACCAACCAAAAAATACTTTAAATTGTTTTTTATAAATTGACTTATTTACTGAGTATAATACTAGATAAGGTTTCATACTTGACATCGCTATGGCAGCCCCGCCAAAGTGTCTTCACAACCACCAAACGACGGCGGTCGCCACTCGGTAATTCCTCGTCGCTCAGCTCCTCGATGCCATCCGTCTCGCAAATCTGGAGCTGTCATAGAATAAAATGTAATTAAATATTAGACGATTGCCTGAATGCCTGAATGTTACACAATAAGTTGTTTATATCAGGAGAGGAAGAAGAGGTTGATAAAATAGTTTTACTGATTTAGACTTCTATAAGGTATAATTGAAATTAAATAATACTTAAGTATGCTGCTTTATTTAGCCATTCTTTATGTTTCATTTCGTAAGTGTACGGCGGGTTCTCGAATAATGAAAGTCAATTCGAGCTTCGATGGTTTTGATTTTATTGAAACTTCATAAACACATCCCTTTTTATTAAATACAATATCATTTAGCCTGGATTTAAAAATGGATATACATGTCAAATGCGCTTTAAAAATTATTTAAAATCAAACTTTCATAAAAAAAATCCTTAAAACTGCAATTTAAATTAAAGTTTAAAAATAACCGAAGAACTTCAAAGAACCGTAACTATTCTGTTAAACTGATGTTTAAGAGAATTAAAAGTATGAAGGAATTAAAATTTACATTTTTATTCGTCGGCACGTGGAAAGTTTCTAGGAAAATAGTTCTTAGGCACGTAAATAGTGAGGACGTTGAGAATTTCCTGTATATTTTGCAAAAGCCTACTTTGGCCCAGTTTCTAATTTTACCGAGCGTGGAAAATGGCTTTGCGCCTGCCGGATGTGCAGGTCTTGGGAAAAACATTACCAAAATATAACGTTATACTTTTTCGTGTAAATTTTATAAATCATTCATGATTACTCACGATTAGGTATTGATCAGTTACAGCAAGTGAGAAATAAGTAAAATAACTTAAGGAAAGTTTCATAGACGCACTTAAACGCGAGTTATGCGGGAAAGCGTTATTTTTATTTTTAGGCGCTAACGACTAACTTAAATATTAAAATACTTTAATTAAGTTTAGGTATATATATATAATACTTAAATTATAGATGTAGTTAACAAGGACATATGCGATTCTTTACCTTGTGATGGTGGGATTGATCCACGGCTGTGCAAACAATTATCTAAGAAATAGCGAACAAGTTTCAGGTTGATATAAATATATTTCTAGAGGGAACATTTACAATAGTGACATTAAAGGTAATGGAATTCCTGTAAGTTGACGGGCATTTGGCTTTTTTTAAACCCTCAATAAATGCCAATCAACAAATACAAACAAAATTGTGTGAAACTCATGTCCCATATATGAATTTAGATAAAGAATTAAATATAATATTTAATGAATATCGAAAAATAATGTTGCAATATGGTCGGACAAAAACTGAACAAAGTAACAAAAGTAATCGTATTAAAGTATTGTTTGCTCAGGTGTCGTACGTGTGTAAACGCAACTGTATAGTTAACTGAAAGTTTTGTCAATACGGGACAATTCAATAGGTTTCGATAAAATTGAAAGTTAATTCGAAAACTTTTTATGAGTTTGTGTTAAAATAGGAATGAAGTTTTTCTTAGCGTATTTTATATTCTCTGACGTATATTGTCATATTCAAATGTACTATTTTTTTTAAATTGCATTTCGAAGGGAAATAATGCAATATATGATAATTATAAATGTTTTACCAGTCTTCGGTTGGCTTTAGTCTCGTCTTAAAGAAAAACGATTGAGTGTCGTTCAAAAATTGCGAAATACAATGTTAAAGATATACATCGTATAAATTATAGTACAATTTATCAATAATTAGATCATAAATATTCGTTATCTTGTTTCTAAATGGGTTTATTTAAAATCATTTACCTTTTATCTTTGTTTATTAAAAAGAAAAGGAATTAGCTTTAAAAGAATAAAATTAAATAAGCTGACATATTTAATAAGGTAGAAGTTTTTATAAATTAGCAAATTAATATGAAGTTAGAATATGTATAATATATCAAAAGCTAACTAAATATATGCAGATAAGTAACATTTAATTTCAACATAAATAATGTATGACTGAATACTATAATATTAAATCATAGACGCTGAACCAATCAATGAACACATTATATTATAATATATCTATATTTATTATTTAACCATTTGTTTACAAGTCAAAAACAAAATGGAAATTCACAATTTTACTCTTCAATCGCTAAAAGGCACAAGAATCACAGATTCCATTGAATGCCATGCTGGAGGCGAATAAGCTTTGGCCAAATGCATTTCTTCAAATTTAGTTTCGGTCGTCGACCATTAAAAGTTTTACACGGGATGTGTTCTCCATATTGTTATAAATTTTCGAGTTTTTACGATTTGTGTAATAAGAATAACCTTAGTGATTAAATAATAAGCGAGGTTTCAGTTGATTTTATTTTATTATTTTAGATATAGCAGTAAGCTCAAACGTTGTACTGTACACACATCTGAAATACAACATTTCAAACTTAAAAAAACAAACAGAAACACTACTTGTAATCTTTCAAATTTCCAATTCTAATAATCTGTACTATTCTCAAACAATAATAGAATCATCAAAATTGGTCCACCTATTTATTGCACTACGGCTTTGCGGGAAAGATTCGATCGTCTTGGTCGCAATAATCTCTCCGCCACTCTTTTTAATCCCTAGCCATTGAAGCCATCGGCCACTTCGCCATATTTTAGTATTAGAAAAAGTCAAGACTCGAGCTATGTAACCTAACGTTAGTTAAGTTTTATATATATTTATTATTTTAGTTAATTATTAGAAGCGCAAATGTTAACAATCATCTTTCACTTGAAGGCGATAAAGTGTAAAACGTAAGTTTTGCTAGCCCTTACTAAATTGTTACATAACATTCTTGTTTCCGATAATGTACTGGTTGACATCGCTTTATAGGTAACAGATGTGTCACTTAGTTTTAAGAACCCATAAATAAGTTTACAGTTTTTTGTCAGTCCAGCGTCCCAACCCCACTACCCCTTATTTTATGTTATGAGCCCTTGTTTGTAACAATTAAAGTCAGTTGGCACCTAGCTTCAAACATAGTGTTCCATTTATTTGAACATCCCTCCAACACCCACCACCGAACTTAACTCTCGGTCAGATTTTCTATTTATGTCTAAAAAACATTTATTTCTAATTATCTAGAGCTAACTACGGGCTTAAATCAATAATTCAAAATAACTGCTATTTAGTGGGCAGCTCTGATGGCGCAATTAATTTTACACATTCGTTTTGTTGCACCTCGTAAATATGGTTCAAGTTTACTATTAAACCTAAGGCTATTAGGGTGGCACGGGGGTGGCACTGAATGTTAGCACTGAGCAGATTGCATTTTGTTATTACAGCGAGTAATCAATTTTTATGGGCTCAAGAAATTCGCTCCCGTGTGCTGTGACGCGCCAAAGTCATAAAGTAGCATAATTATACTTTCAGGAATTTCATTTACTAAGATTTAATTTAGTCTTGTGAAGTTTCGATGGAATTTCATTTAGTAAGTATTGTTGCGAAGTGCGCTACGTCTGTAAGCTCGCGATGCAATACGAATTCTCCAGAATTAATTTAAAGATTTTATATCGCATGAATAATAAAGTTAATGTTTAAACAACACCTACATACGGAGTTGCTTTAGTCGTTTGTTAAAATAATTTCATTTCATACGTAACATTACGGGTGTATAAACAACTAGCGGCCTGCTAGGCCTTCGCACGGCTGGACTTTAATTTATAAAATATTTTGGAATGAAATATGGCCGACCAGGCCGAGTAACGTAACTCAGGGTATTATGTGAATCAATTGGTTAATTTTTTTTTGAAATCTTATCAGTACGTTACTTTTATATTTAATATTTATGAGGCAAACAAGCAGGCACCACCAGGTAGAGTTGCAACACCGAGAGTTCCGGCGTTTAAGGCAAATGGATGGACGTCTCTTGTCCCTATGTTTTTAGTTTATTCGTTACAAATATATAAATTATTCCTTTTTTATAATATTACTAAAGATTACTTATAAAAAACTGTGATATTTGTTTTTTTAAAGATTTTTATTTCGAGTTAATTGTGTTTTATTACGGACAATTACCTAAAATTTAAGTTTCAAAGTTTTGTATAATTGTTTAGTGAAGTGTGATGAATATTTGACAATTAAAAAGATAATTTTGCAAACTGGCAGTGTTGCTCTAATGAGTGTAAGACACTCATCCACACTGAGTTCGTAAGTTCGAACCCCGGCTGCGTGCCAATGGACTGGCTATTTGTGCTAATACACTTGCTCTTACGGTGAAGGAACCGAACCGTGAATCAACGGCGTGTTTCAGGCACTGAAGGCTAAGAATCTGAGGCCAAGAACAAGGGTTGATGCGTCACTGGATCTTTTATGTATCTATGTAGTAATATTTTATAACAACATATATTTAACGATGTTTTTATATCACCTCATATCCTTTATATATATATATATATATGTGTTATTTAACTTAAATTTAGTCTATTGACTTTACAATTTCGTTAAATTTTATATGTACTAGACAACAAAATACAAGTTTATCATGCTAATTATCTCGTCGAATATTACTGACTCGAAAATCAAACGCTAATAACTCAAACGAATTAGGATTTAATCAGAACTGGCAAATCATAATTCGATATTTAGATACGCTTTGTTTGACAAAGCCATGTGTAATTGCAATCGCCCATTTACCCGGTGCCGTAGTTATGATTATAGTGATTTGATTGGCTCATTCGACTACACGAGACGGTACTCGGTCGTAGATTATCCGAAGCGCCGCTAATAGCGCAAATATAATTACTCCATACATCGACAGACCCACTATCAATCAAATAAAATTCGATTATATCGTGTTTTTGCTGTTAGTCTCATAATGAAGTTTGTAATTTCAAAATGGACGTAATAAGTGCATTTAATTTTGATATTTTTAATCAATGTTTTGGCTGACCAGATATTCTTCCGTGGTTTATATATGGAACAATACATACGATTTTATTAAAATGTATATGAAAATAAAGAATTTAATCATAAAGAAAACTTTAAGATTATTATTATTTTTGAAACGGCAATAATTAAAGCATTATTTCATGATAGCGAATATATATAATAAGTGCAGGTTAGAGGGCTAATGTAATGTTTGGCCTAAGTAAAATATATTTCGGATATGATAAGACACAGACACCAATATCTATTAATTGTTACTCTTATGTTTTTAAAATATTTTGGAATGAAATATGGCCGGCCAGGCCGAGGCATAGTAACATATTACTCAGGGTATTATGTGAATTATATTATTCCGGTTTACGTAGTATTTCAGTATTATTATGGATTAGCAAACACAAATTTGATAATAATTGAATTATTGTAAACAATTGTGAATGTAAAGAAAAGACTACAATTGCGGCGAAAAGAACAAATTCAATTACGAAAACAAACATTCCGTGGCACGTTTGTCTTATTACGCTCTGCCTGTATCTGTATCCTACAAAGCTCGTCTTGGCTCATCTAAACAACACGGTATAGTACATACAAATTACAGCAAAGGAACGGTACAGTTACCTTAATTTGTATATTCTATATATCTTTTCGCAATGTATATGTCGGAGTAATGGTAATAAATGCAATTGACCTGCGGTATTGCTCATAGTATTGTCTTTTATTGACATAACTTTCACACATTTGATAATAAAACAATTTTTACCGGATTGAAGTTATGTATTTACAATTATTTTTCATAATTTTAAATTTTACCGACGTTTCGTAGAAAAAATAAGAACAAAAATATAATAAATAAATATATTGTAATTTAATTAATAATTAAATAATTAATAATTTTATTTATATTGTAATTTATTATTATTATAAATAATAATATTTTCGTTTTTTATTTTTATTTTTTCGATACTCCGGGGAAACAAATACAGATAATACAACTTTTTCTACAGCTGTGATACTTTTTCGACATTCGACACCTTTTGTCTTCAGTCACCGTGACCACGCACGCTGTAAAGCACGCGAAACGTCGGTTAAATTTAAAATTATGAAAAATAATTGTAAATACATAGCTTCAATCCGGTAAAAAAATTGTTTTATTATCAAATGTGCGGTATTGCTTTTTTGATCAATTTTTTAGAAGTATGTGATCAGCCGTCTGTGTCAGCCTTGTGTGTTCTGACCCAGATTGAATTTACGTCTAGGATATGCAATTTTTCTCACGTTTTCAATCGGACGATTTTTTTTCACACAATTTAGTATGGTTTTCCGGTTTAAGCAATCAAGTGTGTGATTCTTGAGGTGAGATTTAAAAAAAAATTATGAGTTCTATTGTAAATAAAATCTTTTTACTTTAAGAACACAGACTGTAGCGCAGCTTACCGGAAAACAGAAGGTTTTTACTCTTACGGATTAATTCGGTGGCAGCTTCCCGCGTATTGCAGGAACCTAAAATTTGACAGTTGGTTGACACCTGACAGATGTTTCTGAGGGCGTTTATGTGTTAGATTGTGAAATCTTATGTTCACGTAAAACGGCACGTAATATATTTTACTTGAAACTGGCATAAAGTTAAAATTATTGCTATAATATATAAAAAAAACGGCATTATTCTTCAGCAATCATGATTAAATGTGATATGAAAAAAAGATTGATTATAAATTCTATTAAAATTAAAACTTTTTGGTTTAAAAAGCTCAAAGAAGAATAAAAGTTCTATTCTTGAAAATTGACGTCGTTACGATAGAAATCAAATTTAATGATTCAATCGTACATAATGTGAGTTCATCAGTTTTCCTACATTTTCTACATATTTATAATAAAAAACAGGAACTAATAGCAATGGACGAACTTCTTAAGACCATTAAACAGAGATTTTCAATGGAAAACCTAATAGAGACTATCCGAGATGGTAAATATTTATTGATATTTTTATCTATACATAATCGTTTTAAAACATTTTAAAAAAGCTTAGTAAATATTATACTATCTGAATAATTATAGCCAATAATAAAGCCATTAGGACATAGTGTTCCTAACTTGCTTATATTGCCATTGTCGTTTTGAACTAGAGTTGGATGACACCAAGAAGCCAGAAACTGTACAACCAAATCCTGTGGTAAATGTGCAAGAAGCAATGGATAAAACCGTGGAAATTAAGACAGAAACGGCCGAGGAACCAGCCGTTATCGACACCATGAAGTCGTCCAATATCCAGAAAAAACAGCCCTCAACAAACGCAGCAAATGTTTTGCAAAAACCGATCCCTCCAGATGAAGACAATGATCCGTACCAGGAAAATGAAAACCTTTTTAGCTTTTGCGATTAAACTTTAGAAATATTAATGAATTTATTAAATTAATTAAAAAAAATTTGTTTATCCTTTCAGATGTGGTTAAGAAACTATTGCGTGAATTTTGTATATTACCCTGCGTTGAGGGGCATTGTTATAAATGAGCTATCTAACAGATAATTCAAATCGCTCCAATGGTTGCTTATCTAATATAAGCGCGGGTAACCAAACAAACAAGCAAACCTTATCTATAAAAGTAAAAGTATTATCTAAAGCTCTTTTGTCTCTTAGCCAGAGACAGGTTAATAATTTGGTTAAAACTTTACAATTAGACATTTCACATGAATAATGGGAGATTTTAATTAATGTTCATAATTCGGTTTAAAAATATTTTAAAGTATCAGCTGCAGGTGTAGGGAAAATTTATGTAGTATATCGAGGGAGTATTGTTTATTGTAAAGGAAGCCTGCTCTGTCTCCTGCTGAGTCGTTAATTGGTAACATAATCCCATTGTACCCAGCAACCGTGCGCTAATGGTTTATGTAAAATATCCCTACTGTCGAAGACGTGCACTTTAATATGAGCCTCTCAATTTTGCTTCGCCTGCATTGCAAATAATTGAACGATAAACTTTCTTAAAGCAGTCTTAGTCCAGTGGTGTTACTGACCCCGCCTGTATTTTGATTTAATTTTTTAAATATACCGTCAATAGACGGTATATTTAAAAAATTAATTAATATAATTAATAATATAATAATATAATTAATTAATATCAATTGATGGCATGCGTCAAAACAGTTGAACATAGAATTGTGTTAAGGAAATATTTAAAGGAAAAATCGATAGGTAATGATAAACCTGATAAACCTTTGTGAAAACCTCTTGGTAGTGACTTTTTAAGAAATTCTGTTTCTTTTTCAAAATTAATGTTTAAATAATTATTATCATATAATAGTCACAGCTGCGGTAGAAATAATTTTTGAAGTTATACTTCTTTAGGCGCGTTATGAAAAATTTATGAGAGTGAAATTTTACAATGCGCGCGCACCCGTGACACAAAATTAGGAGTGTGATTATAGCGTGCGCGAGCGAGATAGGAATAAGACAATCTACAAGTAAAAAGAAATAGAATATGCGTGAAGTTCGTATGCCAACAATTTTGAATGACCATAATGACATTTGTCATTTACCTTTTAAACAAATAAAGGAGTTTTAATTATTTTTTCAAAGAAATTTAGCGATGCTTTTTGAATTATAATCAGAAGTGATTTAAATTGAATATTTAAACCAATACTAATTAATATTTGTGAAAAAACTGTGCTCATCAACCTTCCTAAGTGCTTCAATACAATTGAGGTTAACTATCCGTATGTATTATTATTATTATCGAGAAATGTTTTGATTAAAAAATTAACCACATTGTTTAATCAAAACATGTAATTTTTCTGATTTTATCTAGCAAATATAAGGAAAAGAGACAAAAAACAATTGATGAATCCGTGTAACTGCACTAAATTGAATACAAAAAAAAGAGTTTTCATCTTATCGCTGTGAAACATCAAAAACTGGAGGTGGAACAAAGCCAAACTATTTTTAATATTGCCAAAGAAGTATAACTTCTTACGCGCGTACATAAGTACACGGACCCTTTTTTTTATCTGATTTCGTCGTCTGACAGAGCTTGGAAATATTAAATTACTAAGTAAAATAATTATTTTAAATAATTTCTGAGATTAATTAATTAATATCAAATCGCATGGAGCTTAAAAATAAAAAAAATACATAAACGAATTTATAGCTTCTGGCAATAGTCTAAATAAATTGTATCTATATACTCGTAAATAAAAATGAATCGCAAATATGTTGCTAAGCGCAATACTCGAAGACGGCTGAACCAATTCAAGTATTTTTTAAATTTATTCCTTGAATTCTGAAGAAGGTTATTTTGCATAGAAAAATTGAAAAATATAAAAAAATTAGTTTTTTTAGTACTTAGGTTTTTATTTCGGAAAGGTGAACATTCTCTATAGGTTAGCATTGCAAGATGTTACATTTGTTGGTATGTAGCTACTTAAAAGGTAGACAAAATAACAAAAGCATATTAAGGTGAAAAGAAGTACGCGAGGACATCTAGTTTAATATAAAAATAAGTCTCCTGTTGTGTTGCAGAGTATTTTTTTAAAATTATTATGATATATAAAAAAATATATCTTCATCGGAAGACGGATTAGAATAATTACTGAAATGATATTATGAGAGATAAAAAACCTTCTACCTCAATGATGTTGCATTTTTAGTCTGTACTGAAAAAAATTAGAAACAATATCGAAATTACGTAAGAAAAATCAGAGCTAAATGAGTTTGCAATTATTTTTCGAGTTCACGTTATTGCAGACTACATTACGTTTTAGTATCAACGAGGATGAAATCATATTCCCTAACTATAATGAAAACACTTGTATCGTACATAACACTACTAAAACAGTTGTTTGACGTTTTTCGTTAAACTAGAAATGTAAAAACAGTCGAAGTAACGTCTAAAGGTAACCAAATTCAATCGCAATTAGTATCGTTATATTAATAATATTATGTTACTTACAGTGCCATGTGGTCCCTCGCCCAGGAAAGTAACTGGTCGCATGCGCCCCCGCGGGAAATCCAGCAGGGGCGCCACCCCGTTTGGGGGCTCGGCTTCAGGTAGTTTTATCGAGGTGAAAAGCCCTGGGGCGGGCTTCTCTCGGCGATTTTGCCGTTCATCCGGGTACGTCTGTAAATAAACCTCTTTCATTAAACTATTCTATGTATACTGTATACTCTGAAAACACAAAATCGTAGCTTTTCTAATTCCTGATTAGGGTCCGAGGCGTAGTTGCTAGTTAGCGGTCATTATATAACGTATCTTTAAAATTTATTGTTCGTACTCGGTTTACATGTAAACTTTGAACCTCATGAAAAAAATAAAATCTTAGTCTAGAATTTTGCCAGTTTTATTTATAATCATTATGTATTTCACTTTGAATTCATGGAGTATGTAGTACTAAAAAAGCCTTTCAATTATCCAACAACGTTGTTAGCTCGCTTGTAGGTTCGTGCCTTTTATATTTGAACATGATCTGTATCAATGTTCTTTACTTGTTTCTTAGAATAATTATTAAAATGACAAAAGGGCATATCAAACAATGTCATGTCTAGAAACCTAGAGCGAATATGGATATTTTTCGTAACATAATCGTAAGTTTTAAATTTCGCCCCACCCCGGGAATCGAACCGTACTAAGCTGCTGTCAAACATGCTAACCACTAGTGTTCTATTTGGCAGTATATGTGTATTAAGTGAACTTAAATTTGAGTTGTCTACACTTTTGCAAGGTAGAAAGTACAGTCAGAACATAAGTGCTATCTAAAAGTCGTAGTAACATGACATCATTAAATAATGCGTATAAGGAAGAACTATTACAAAGACAATTTCTCTACTAATGCACATTGCCTCACTTCTCTTTGTAATGATGCTATTTATGCTCTCTTTGTGTCCATTGACATATTTTAGGTGTTAGGCTCTCGTAGCTATAGCAAAATATCTGCGAGATCATATCATATCATTTCTATACCTAATGACTCAGTATTTAGTCGGATTAAAAGCGTAATCGTAGGTTAGATTTCCGGTGAACTAATGTTCACGGAAACGAACGATGTATTATAATTCCGTGAATAAAATATAAAGTCAATCGAATAATAGTTTTGGTGAAAATATAAAATACCAGATTGCTTACGTAATTTAAATAGTTTTGTCAAATTTGGGTATAAAGTTAAGCAAGCTGGGCACGAAATATAATGTCACCTCACGTTGGAGAGAACGTATAACTCGCTGTACGTTGCGTTCAATCATGATTGGATTAACAGGCGTAATAACATTGCTATTGGACGAGAGATACTGTTGACCAATCACAATCGAACGGTACGCACAACCGTCTTTTGATTTAAATTTACATAAAAGAAACATATATACCAATAATAAATAGTTTCTTTGCACCGACTTTAGTTACACAACACAACAAAGGAATATAAAATAATACAAAGCAAAAAATTAATAAGTAATAGAAGTAATTTAATATATACTTTATTGTCAATCATAAAGCTTGCCAAATGTATCTTAAAGTGCTAACTGTGTTGGCACTTGTAATCGACGCAGGCAGGCTATTAAATAGTTTACTTCATACATCTAAATTGAACTTTGAAAAGTATCAATGTATCTTTAATGGACTATAATCTTTACTATATTATGAAAGGGTTTGAGTACAGTAGTGGATAAGTAGTGTGCTAGTATAATATTGTACAGGAAATCTAATTATTATAAGTTACTGGAAGCCATAGTCAGTTAATCAGTTACTAAGAACTAAACCCCTGGGAATAGTTTCACAATGTTTAGTAGTTAGTATTCATTATTTAGTGTTCCAATGGGTTCTGTGTCTGTTTCATCGATCATTATTAAGCCATTATCAGCCTATTCATTTAAAGAGATTATTTCTTTACTTGGAATCGAACCACCATTTTAATAATAACTTTGTATAATGAAAAGTAACTTCATATTTTTTTTTTATAGAACGGGGGGGCAAACGGGCAGGAGGCTTACCTGATGTTAAGTGATACCGCCGCACATGGACACTCTCAATGCCAGAGGGCTCAATTCATTATAATTGAAAAGTTCAAAATATTTTTTTAAAGTTTATTATTTTATGCTAGATTTACGTGTCACTTTGTAACGACTCCAGTAATATATTATTCTTAATTTAAAAATACTCTTTATACCCAGAGGAATGAAATTCCCAAACTCTGCTATCAAATGTTCAAGTTCTAACCCCAACTGTTGGGCGGTGATAGATGAGGTATTCAGTTAGTTCGCCGCTTATATAATACAGCTACAATTCGAAACATTTTACAGGAATATTTAACTATTCAAAGTGTACTCCTCCCTGAAAGGCCGGCAACGCATACTCTAAAAATGGGCTGCGATGACTGCCTTTTTTGGGCGTCCCGAAGGCTCGTTTGCCCCCTTTTATCTAAAAAATCGCAATTTAAAGTATATGGCTTTTTCTCGAGAGCTATATGGGGTTAGTATTATTTTTATTCTTATTACGGTATATAAACATAAAGGAATAAAATGTATATAAAAGTGTTGTGTATGGTCTCTGGTCTAAAATGAAACGATTTGGCTAATTATGGTCTGGAAATATTGGTGTAATTTCAGTTAAATTAAATATTTTAATATAAAATAATTTTAAATATAAATAACAAGTAAATAATACTAAAAACTACAGTTGAATTTTTCAATTAAAGCTGGGAAATATTTGATGTCTTCTTAGAAATGACAAATTGTCACTTGGTTGTCAATATATATTTTTGTATTAAGTTTTAGACACAACTATAATATGTAGGTGATACGAAGTTCACCGGGTCCTTTAGTAAGCTATAAATATATTATTCAAAATACTAAGATCTGTAATAGGAGGAAATAGTAATAAGGAAACTTGATTTAAATACTTGTAATTATATATTCTTACAACAATCTTTTTGTTATTTTGAGAGTTTTGTTACATTTTAGATTAACTCTAATATAAATAACACAAAAGACTGCAGTGCAGGAGCGTCTGCGACATATTATATTTGGTACTGATAAGGCCCGAAATAAGTTGCATACTAATTTTTACTCCGGCATATTTTACAATCTTCTTCTTATAGTGCCATCTCCTTGCGAAGGTTGGCGATCATCATGGCTAGTTTAATTTTGGATGCCGCGCTTCTAAACAATGACTTGGTGCTTCGACCAAACCATTGTCTTAAGTTTTTCAATCAGGACGTGCGTCTGCGGCCAGGTTTCCTTCTACCTGACACTTTGCCTTGTATGATTACTTGAAGGAGCTCGTATTTTTTGGAGTTATGTAAAACGTGTATTTTATAATCGTCACGTATAAGTGTCACGTTGTTTTTCCGCTATGGACTCCTAAACTACCGAACCGATATCAATCAAATTTGCACACCATGTGTAGTTCGATCCAACTTAAAAGATAGGATAGCTTACATTTCAATTTATTCCCGCAATATTATTTTATTGAAAAATATTTGTTTATTATTTGATAGTCACAATTCTATTAGATGGCGCTGTGTTGAAAGTACCAACGTTTCACATAAGCTATAATTTAATGGCATAACCACCAAAAAAAGGATGGTGGTCCCCATGACTGGTGTTCTCCTACCGTTTCCCTTGTATAGTTTGCTACTATGTAATATAACAAAAACCTTAGCCATAGCAACGCTTGGCCGGTCTGCTAGTAGTATTAGAAATCAAGGAAATGAGATTAAAACTTTATGTTAACTATTTAACTAGTAAATATTTATGACTTGCATGTTGTAACTAATAACTGTTTATGCCGTTCGTGAGCCAATTGAGGCCACATATCTACATGTGACCTGTAAATGTGTGTATTGACATGGCTTCGTAAAACATACATTAAAACGAAGTAATTGCTTTAAGTGCCTAACATATATAACACACCTGCGATGTAGGCTTGGTTGATTCGTTACAGGTTTCAAACAAAGATTATCTGCACTTAACTAAAAAAATAAATCAATGGCGCTACAACCTTTTTAGGTCTGGGTCTCGGATCTGTCTGTATCTGTTTCATCATCTTTTGTCAATGCAATGGGCCAGTTGGTGATCAGCCTCCTGTGCCAAACACAGGCCGTCGACTTTTCTGGGTCTAAGGCAAGCCAGTTTTCTTGTTCACGATGTTTTCCTTCACCATTCGAGCGAATTTGAAATGTGCATGTTTAAAGAAAGTCACAGCCGCACAGTCCCCGGTGCACAGGCGGGGATAGAACCTAAGACCTCAAGGATGAGAGTCGCACGCCGAAGCCACTAGGCCAACACAACTCTGCCAACTCTTAACCAAAAAATAAGCAACCTAGAAGGTCCCAATAACAGAGATTTAATAGCGTACCCGTCAAAAACATAAACTTTTCTTTACAGAAGCTCTATATCATCGTTTGGGATTTTCAGGTCTATTAGTCAATTAGCCGTGGTTTCCGATCGGAATGAATAGTTATTACAACTGCGGTTACATTCACGTTTTTGTGATATTAAACCGTAAATATTATATTGCGGAGTAATAACCCAGTTTCAGAACTGCTACCTATTATGTCCTAGCCCCTTGTGCTGCATATATTTATGATTGATTAATAATAATTATTATTATTTACACCATATTTACGTCTATATAAATAATATAAATAGTATCTATTGTACATTTCGTATTTCAGCAGCCTGTGGCATCCCAGTAACATGTATTGTGAAGTAATATCGAGAATTAATTTAATAATTTAAATAAACATTTGTTTATAATGAAAAAAAATTATCATAACGTAAGTTAATATATTTATATTAACTTACGTTATGATTATATTCGATAATAATTAATTGCTGTAATAAATAAAAAAAAAGAAATTTAAGATAGGTCCAGGTTTTGTGTAAATTACTTTACTTTATCACCACTATTTTAGCTATGTGATTTAGAAACATAAAAAAAACAAAATAAAAATAGGTAAACAATTTAGGCAATTTAACGTCGGTTGGCTTACGTGTAAGCCTCACAAAGCCGTGATAAAACATTTACAAAACGCCGGACCAGCACGCAAGTCGTTTCTCTCATAATACCGTCCTTAACTCATTAATCATTTCGCAAACAGCCGCATAATACCCCTAATGAGTAAAATCCAAGCATACCTTAGGCGATACCATTAATATTGCGAACCCGGCCTTCCCTTTGCAGATGGGATACACAATAGTTTAAAGCACATTTACGATTTACCTCATTTCGGGCTTTCATTTAAAGTTGAAGAACGGTCGCCGTTCGCCAAAAGGAACGCAGTTTTTTTACTTTTTCTTTACGGTTATTGTGATTTTTTTATACCAAACGCAAACGAGCAAGTGGGTCACTTAATGATAAGGCAATTTACAAGTATTTGCGACATTTAGAGTCACGGAAGTCTTGTTTACATTAAGGGGAACGAGTGATAAGCATGAATATTGTATTGATTGCTTTTGGTTTTAATAGTTGACTAACGATTTCTTAGCTTACTTTTATGTAATATACTGTGCCGGTATTAATATCAAAACATAAAATTAAAGTCTCAGTGCGAATATGTGTTTGTGGATAAAATTAAGGTTTAAAAATAAAATCCTCCTAAAAAACGATATCCGACTTTACTGCATAATGCGTTATAACCGCTTCAATCCTGATTTCTCTAACAAATTAAATTTCGGTTACAAATAAAATCAAAATTCAAATGAAATCTCAAACAAATGAAGAACATCCTTGAAAGAGTTTTAAATATTGCAGTAAAAATTTCTCCCGATTTAAATTTTCTACTGCGAATGAAACTTTTCATTCGTAGTAGGAAATTTTGACAAACTCCTTCAGAGATCGCAAATAAAGGCAGAAACTGGACAAACATGAAGTATAAACGTCGCCAATGTAAAGCCATTTAATTAGCTAATGTAATTACTAATTATTAAGTACGAAGTGAAATGTTTTCTTTGCAAACATAACTGTGGAGTTGGGAGAACTAAATATTTAATATTTCTGCTTTCATAACGATGTCACTAAACTTCTTATCCAGCCTGGATATAATTAAAACTAAACGACCGGCAAACTTGTGTCGGAAAGTGCAATAGCGCTACGAGCATGCTTTTAATGTGGTTAGGCGTACTGAGAATGCTTTATGACCCTAAAACTATAACTTTTCGAGGCTTGGCGAATTATTCAGAACAATTTGTTTATAAAGTACGCTATTGTAGCTTTATGCTCTTCGCTGTTTCAAGTTATATTATATTCAAAATATAGTGATGACATGTTTGTGTCACTTGTTGTTCTCAATATAAAAGCTTAAGGTTTGAACCCACATTTTATTGGAAAATATCTTAGCATAAAGATGCGAAGTTATTTTCAAATCAAATTTTATTTAAAAATAATCTTCTAGTGTAATTTAATAACATTTATTATTAAAATTAATAACAATCTACGTAGTATCTTTAAAAAATGTTTTGTTATTAAAACTTTTTTATTGTCGTAGTGTTTTAAATCCAATAAAAAAGATTTTACTTTATTTTATTTTAGTTATAGTAACGTGTTATTTGAAGTTTTTTTTGTTAATAATTTTTGCATTACTTGTACTCTACCCTCTGTAGGTGTTTCTTTTTCATTGTTCCACTTTAGGGTTGCCTGGAAGAAATCGCTTGTTAGCGATAAGGCCACCCGTTGCCTTATAACTTTTGTAACCTGTTTTTTTTTATTTTTGTTATGTGTATGATTTTGATTAAGGTAATAAAGTATAAATAAATAAATAAACTATACGGTATTTTTTTTATAGGCATTTGATTTATCTTGCTTTTAAGTTTATTATATTAATATATAAAGTTTTCTTATAGAAATAAACATTGATAAATGATACTGTACTATACTGCATAACTGTTCCATTATTGCTGAACTGGGTGG